CACTGATGGCCCTCAACAATGCGGGCTGCAGAAAAAGATTGAATCTTCAACACGGACAGCGGGCAAACGGGCAAATACAGAGAAGAATCAGTCGCATAGTGTACATGTGCCCAGATCAATATGACGTAGCCCGTCAGGGGCAACCCCCGCGCAAAACTTTCCTCCCCCAACTCGGTGCCACAGCAGTTTCCGCATTATCATTTCCCGCAGTTTTCGTCTTCAGAAGCTCTCTCTCTCTCTCTCTCTCTCTCTCTCTCTCTCTCTCCCATCCTCTCTCTTGTCCTCTCTCCTCTTCCTGCTGGGCATACAGTGGCCCGGCACGTGGGCTTGGGAGACGTGGGAGGTGAAAGGTGAGGCGGGGGGTCACACAAGCACAGCACAAGTACGGGGCTTACGAGTTGGTTGTAAAAGCAACGGTTGACAACGATGCTACAGCAGTAGACATAAAGCGTTTCTTGTTCTCTGTGTTGCGCGGAGCGCGAGGTTTTGGCAGCAGCACCTGCGGCTGGTTCCTGGTTGGTTCGCTCCTCTACAAGGGTCCTGTGCCAGGTTACCTGGTGAGGGGCGATTTTTCTCAATGGAGCGGGTGCGAGACTCAGACGGTACAGCTGCAGCAGCACCGCAGCTGTACCGCAGAGCGCAGGAGGGCTGCGGGCTGCGGGCAGGGGGCAGCGGGCAGCGGGCAACACACCGAACCAGAACCAGAACCAGAACCAGAACCAAACCCAGCGGGACCGTGTGCGCATGTGCGCATTCATACAGCGCCCATCGAAGTTTCTCCGCTTTCAACCATTGCTCGTGGCCCCCTACCTAACCTCACTCCCATACCCCCAAGCCCAAATGTTGGACTAGTCTACGCCCAGCAGGAAGAGGAAAGAAAACAAGAGAGAGAAACAAAGGCGTTCGAAGCGGGAGGCTAGCCAAGAGGGTGCGAATTCCAGGCAGCGTGGCGGCGACGGGGGGGTAAAAGCTACCCCTTGGTACGTAGTTGGAGGCAATCCAGAACCAGAGGCGCGGGGAGCACAACTTGACATTACAGGCAAGGAGCGCACTTTCCAGCAGAGTGGTATCGACTACACACAGCACATAGCAGTAATCGTGAGAGGCGAAAAACATCATCAACCGCCACCATCACACAACTCTGTATCTCATTGTTACAAAGCAATTTACGGGCCACACATGTAGAATTATTTTGCCCGGAGACAGTACCGTCGTCGCGTCCCCCTGCGACAACTCTGATACGTGCGATACCCAACATGTTACGGCCGTACCGCATAGCACGCACGTGGTCGGTACTACAGCAACTGTGGCCGAACACAGAGAACTGCGTATGTACGTACGGTACGAGACGCGGCGGGAATAAATACGGCGAAATACGACATTGGACTACATACCACAGTAATTTCCCGCCACCGAGAGGTCGTTTGCACAAACACACCGTGCCACACCCCGTTGCAGCATATCAGCGGGTGCAGGCACGAAAGCTGCCTCGGCCTCACAGGCTATAGTGCTGCTGCTGCTGAATGAAACAACGCGAAGTGACCGATGGCAGTCTCCTCTGACTCCTTGTTTTGGTCATATTTGCCAGTGCTTCAATATGTCGTACGCCATGCCGCCATCCAGAACGGGCCCGGAGACAAGAAACACCAAAACCGGGTCGAGCCTCAATTTCATATTTTTGGCACAAGGGCCAGTCGAAGTCGGCCAATTTCTTAAAATGAGTTTCTTATTCCTTGTGGCTTTCGCATCCTGCTGATTCTCTTAATTCTCATTTCTGGCGAGGAAAACAATAACACGCTAAGCCTCCATGCAGCATTAAACTGACAGCTCGGTGTGGCGAACATTGGGGGTTGCGGCAGTACAGCAGTACAGAAGCAGTGGGTAGCGCAGCCCGCGGCGGCGCTGGGTCGCGGGGGGCGCGGCGAAGATAACCACTCTCCCCCCTGCCAAAAAAGTACATGGGCTAGGTATGGGGTGGGAGCTGGCAGCACCAGCAGCGCCAGCAGCACCAGCAGCACCAGTCTGACGTAGCTTTGTTTCTATGTCTTGGGGGTATCGCACGATCGATCATGTTTCTTATTGGGACGTTTCTTCAGGTGTGGCCGAGATTGAGCTGTGTTTCTCAACCAATTTTCTTATTGTTCGTAAACGTTTGAGCTTTTTTTCTTATCTCATTTTTTCTTGATTGCGGGCCCGTTCTGTACGTACAGCAATACAACACCGTTCACGATACAGCGAAGTACCTCCTGTGCAGCGAGTGCCCCGGAGTCATTCGGGGCACGGTCTCGGTGATATCGCACCTCCGTGCGATATCCCCGAACCCCGTGCGATAATCGAGTTAAATCACTTGGTTGTTGATTTTTTATCGCACGGGGGTTGGGTGCGATATCATCGGTGCGTGCGATATTACAGAACCGCGCGTTCTCTCACATCCTTGGGGTACACGCCAAGAGTCGCAGTTTGTTGGGGACTTTCGCAGGCGTCGCCGCGGGTACATATCTCGATGAAGGCAGACTCTACGAATCTCAGCGACACCGTGTACTCCCAGGTGCCATCTCGAGCGCGGCATGTGTTTATCGTTCTTCCCTTACGGTGGGGCGAAACCTGATGGACGGCAGGAGAGGGATGAACCAAGGGGGCACTAGACACAGATAGGCCTACGAATCGAAATCTGGGCCCACTAGGGGGGGGGGCTCTAAGTTCTAGATAATTGCGTATGGGGCACGGTGGATAGAAAACCCTCCGCCGTAGCGGGGGCAATGACTCATTTTCGTGAACAAAGCCCCTTTGCAATGTAGTTCCTATGTAAAACCCAAATCGAAATTGACCTTCCCGGGGGGGGAGGGGAGGGCGGCTGGCCTACGTGTCCGGAATTGTTTTTCGGGGGTACAGCTGGTTGAATACACAAAATTCTCCTCATGTCTCGCACATGAACAAGGCCCTTTCATTCGCAGCCGGCAGAAGCGCGTGAGATTACTGCTGCGACAAGCCTTTTGTGGTGACTGTTGTGTGCTAGCCTGCCTGTCCGTCTGCAGCAGCACAGCAGCAGCAGCGCACTATCGTGGTCCCTTTGGTATTCGGTGCTCTCTTTTACACGTGCGCTCTGTTAGTTGTTGTGTTCTTAGTCAGGTCAAATCGGTGTTTCAATCCGCAGGGGGCGAGCTAGCCCAAAACGCTCCTCCTGTCTGTCGCCTAGACGAGGGACATTTGGTTGTTTAGTTTGCGTGTAGGGTGGGTCCAACGCCTCTGTCTGGTAGCACGGGAGGTTGGTCGGAAATTTTATGAAATCTGAACGCCTTTTCCAGAAAGAAGACGGAGACGTCAGGACCGTTCCGGAGAATGGGCGCTAATTGCCGTGCTAATTTCTACCATGCGATTTCTGAAAGATTCAATGCTGGAAAAAATTCCAGTCCGAAACGGTCCGCGACTCAAGTTTTTAGAAACACTGTAGACTTCTGTAGTCGACATTCAGTGTGAACGAGCACGCTACCGCTGTACCTGGGACGAAGGCACTCCAGCCGTGAGCCGCCAATATTGACTACTGCACGTCGCATTATGTGCTACCAAGCGCATTCTGTGCTTGATGGAATGTTTGATGATCACAACCCTCCTGGTACCGTAAGAATGCGGGTCTTGGCACGGATCGGCGACATCGCAGAGGCCGGGGTCTTGGCACAGGGGGTGCGGAAAAAATCGGATTCCAAGGAATATAATTGATTTATCGCACAGATATCGTTCACTTGGCACAGGGGTCCCGATAGCTTCGGCGAGGTTGGGTGAACCACGAGGTATCCAGCTATTGTCGCGGACCACTACTGTACCAAAGTAGCTTGTATCATGGGCTCCACTGTGGTACTTCGGTATCGTAACGTTGCTCATGTGCAGGTGATGTTCTTTAAATATTTCTAGAACCGCCTTCTTGTTCAACATTTCTTACTGCTGTCGGAATCGAGAAACGGTATCTACAGTAGAACTCAAACAACAGAATCTCTTGGCATGTGATAGGTACAATGTGGGATATGTCGGAGCCCCCCGATGCCCCGCATGGCGTGCTCTGTCTCTCGCTCTTTTCTCCGGGCGTGGCTGTTTTTGCGCAGGGCTTACGTCACCGCAGCTCTCTTCTCTTCAAGCGGCGTCCATGTGACTAACCGATTCCACACGACAAGCCGGGCAAGGTGACGGGCAGGGTGACGTAGCACACCTAAGTAGGAAGAGAGAATTGCACAGACGGGTGAACTTGTGTTTTTTTAGAAAGAAACTGGGTACTGCACAGGCAGACCCGAATCCCAAGGCATCTGTCAACTGACTTTGTGCCAGAATCGGCGAACCTTCGCATGTTATGTCGTCGTCAGCAGGACACTGGGTCGATACTCGGATCATGCACATTTTTCCCCTGACATTTTCTCATGGACACGAGTATGTGCCACTCCTGAGGGCACCTCTGGGAGTCGAGCCCATGAAAAAACTGTTACACCTCTATCGAATTGCCCGTCCTGGCCCGAATGGGTTTCCGGTCGAGGGTAAATTCTGCGGGTGGGGAATGCTAAGGAGGACGCGTTTCCCAAGGTTTCCGTCGGTTGACTTTTACCGGAATCGGTAGAGCTTGGCAGCACCATGCCTCTTTTCCCAGCTTTCGCATTGTGGTTGCGAAAAGAAGGCTGGTAAGAAGCCATTCGTGTGCGCTGGAAATGGAGGCAGAGAGACACAGACGATGCATGAGGGCCAAAAACGTTTTCTCCGGGGGAACCTGCGGCGCCGAACAACTCCATCTACATTCGGCTCTCAAAGCGCCGGTTCGCTTTTTATTGGCCGTGCTCTGCTGATCGAGGGCTGCCCATCAAAACAAAGAGTTGCCGCGGTGGGGGGAGACCAACGTCTAACCTTGTGAGGACACACGGTACAAACGTGCAACAATAATGAGTGAACCGTGTTCGTCGCAACGATCTATTCCACAAATCCGCTATAATGCTCCCTATCCAGGTGTGGTGCCGCCGAAACTGATGTCTTCTGACGACGGCAACTGCGGCAGCGAGGACGGGGAGGAATGCACGGGGGAGCAAGTGATGTTCCTCGTCATATTTTGCTGGGTATGTATGCGAGTTATTATTGACGCAGTCACACGCTCCTTGAAGAAGAACGGGGCGGATTCGAACCCTTGTATCCAAAGGTGTTTGTTCACTCCAGGCAACAAGGATTTTGTGCTGCCTCGGTCGAGTGTTCATGCGACGTATATGTACAGGAAATTGCCAGCGATATGCGCTACACACCCGGTGATGTGCATTGAAAATTCCGTCACTTCAAATTGCTTTGTGTTTCCGTGAGGGCGACAAACCATTTGGGAGCACCATTTTTGTATCATCCATCGATAAATGGACGTCCCCTGTGTCGACTCGAGATTGAGTCAACTTCCTCCAACGTCATCCGGCCTATTGGCAACTAACTTTTGTAACCGCTACTTGCCGCCAACTTTGTGTTGCGATTCTGCTGTCAGATGATGGTGGGGCTTGCCGTGAACTGGGGTCTGATGATTGTGAGTGGACCCAACGACCTCCCGGACGTCTATGGGTGCAACGGGATTTTACGAGCTGATCGGTGAGTATTTTGTATCAGGTGTTGCTGTTGTTGTGTTCACATTCGAAACCGCTCCGGTCTCCGCTCAGTCTTTACCTTCTAATCCCATTCTGGTCCAACTGACGCGGACATCAGTGAGCCTAGACACGTACATGGCGTTTGATGTGGTCACGACGTAACCAGATGCCTAAAATGTCCTCCAGCACAAAGGAAAGGATGTGGCAACGCCGTTGGGAATCCCGTCTCCAAACGCGGTCTGTCTGCTGCGGAGAGGGTTTAAGCAAGGAGTTTGCATGCCCCCGCCGACGCTGCTTTCGTGCCTGCCAGAAGAATTCGCCTTCGTGCGAATTTTCATCAAGACCACAAAGCAGTACCCCCCTCGGCGTGTTCTCTGTCGGTAGTTTCTGCATGGTCCAGAACACAATACACAACCTTCGCCGTACATAGAGCGGCCTTTTGTCTTGGTTCCATGGGAGAAACTAGCAACGGCTGTTTTCGCAAAACGCGTGAGAAAGCACTCCGCTCGTTGCTTCGTAGGTTAGCTGAACAAAACCGGACATTTCACGCGCACGTTCACGCGGACGACAACAATATCGAGGTTCTCTGTTTGTATTGCTTCCTAAATCGTTCCAATATTGTATTGCGGTTGGGGTGTTGCTACGACTACGTACTGGACAATTGGTGATATACCTGCGCCGCAGTAGGGAGCTTAGCACTAGCCCGGGTAGTGCTCGGTTCTTTGAGCGATGATCGCCTCATTTGTGGTTCGACAAAGTGATGCACATGGACATGCCGGCACGCGCTTTCGGCTACATCGGAGGGGGGGGAGGCGGTGTTCCAAAAGTTCAACACATCACTGAACTCGAACCGATATCGAAAGTAGCTCGCCATCGTGGGAGAAAGACATTGCGATGTTTTCGCATTGGCAGCCTCACCGTAGTCCAGTCGTCTTTATCGCGACAACCATAAATAAAACGAGGCTCACGGCAATAGATCGCACAGTTCCACCACTTTCTGTGTAGAAACATGTATACACATTGCACGCGTAGTGTCCCGGGACGTTGTTGCCACGTACATACGATGTATGTTTTTAACACACTTATCGATGGCTGGTTGAGAGGCAGGGTGCCGAACATGGTCCAAGGATGCAGCATGTATTATTGCAAGTATGCAACAAATCTAACACCACGATCCCCGGCATTTCTTCTGTTCTGCTGCAGTGATCCGGGGTGCTTTTTCTTCTTTTTCAAGGTATGATGCTGCGGATTGGGTTACCTCTGGCGGTCTTGCGCTTGTCTCAGAGTGTTGGTGACGTCCGTCTATCGTGCCCGTTACATATTGTGTGAAGCGCTCGCGCTCAGTTCGAGACGACGCTGAGACTAGTTCATCTGTGAACCCAGAGTTTAACAGTTTCGCGTCAGAGGCAGGTACAATTGTTCTTGTTTCGACACCAAACTAGCCGCTCTGTCGCATGTTCAAGCGTAGACTACTGCCTTGTGTTTTCCGGCGCCTCTAACGATTCGCACAGCACACAGCGTGCTGTTTATGCGCCGACGTTGACCTTTCACAGGTGCAGCTCACCCTGTTTTTGTGCATGATACTCTCACGCCTGCACCCCCCCCCGGTTTTTTCGTACGCTTCCGTTCCAATTCTTAGGCAATTGCAACGTGGATTGTGTGCGCGTGTCTGGGGCCCTTGCCGTTGGCATGTCTTCTCTGCTGGTGGCTTTGGCGGTATCTGCGGAATCTCTGCCGTTTCTGCATAGACCTCCCCCGACAAGCCTGTGAGTGCGGTGGAAGCGATATTTGTTACAGGTCTTCCTAGAGGGCACGGTCACTTTCTGCATGAATTGTGTGCTAGAGGCAACACCCGGCTGATACATTAGGTGCTCACCCGTTGAACGGGTGCAGTAGTTTTCTTTCTTTGAATCGAACAGACTTTGCCAACGGTTTCTCTTCCTGTCTCTCGCCAATACTAGAACGCAGTAGGGCTTACGGCAAGGGGTGTCCTCTGCCGAAAAAGTGCAAAAAAGCGAAACCGGTGTACTGCTGTACCTCGAAGGAATCATTCAAGGCGTACGGCGTCACCTGTGCTTCATTTTTCCCTCGTAGTCCACAGAAGGTTGTACGTTCCCTCCAACAGCAGCAGTATCGCTTCCGTTGCACCTCCTTCTTTGGCGTGTCGCAGCGAGGAGAAAGACACAACTAGCCGTGGACCGCCTGCGAAGATTTCCGGGTCAAAAATCGTGGCGAGATCGGGGCTGGCTGATCATGATGCGGGCGCGTCGCCATAGGTCCTCGGAAAGGTCCAAGGGCTGGCGGGCCAGGTTGCGGAAGCTCAAACAGTACGACGAGGCCGACATCATGAATTATGCCACGAGGGATTTCATGGGCAGCCAGACCCCTCCCGAGATAGAGTTACTAGAGACGGGAAGGCTCAAGATGAATTTTGTGCGGACGGTAATAGCGGTGGTTGACATTAATGAGGACGGGTTGTTCCGCCACATCATTACGTACCTATAAATTGGGGGAGGTAGAAGTCTACTACTGTAGATATCGTATAGATCTAAGACTATACTATCGCCGAGGAGCACGGAGGAGAGTACATGACATTCTAAGACACAAGCGGCTAGATATCATGGAGCGAGCAAGCCACAGGCATATCCTTACAAGGTCCGAGACAACCACGCGGCCCTTGATCCTCCTCAAACTCCTCAAATCGAAAGGAACTGCCCGAATATGGTGTGTGTTTCCGACGCAGAAGATTTCTCGCGAGACGACCGGTGCAAGAATGCAGGAATTGGCGTCATCATGAGACCGGTGTAGCCATTTCTTGCCGACCAGACAACCACGCGGCCCCTTGATGCTGCTCAAATCGAGAGTGACTGCCCGGATCAGGTGTCTGTTTCCGAGGCAGAAGATTTTTCGTGAGCAGACCGTTGCAAGAATGCAGGGATTTGCGTCATCATGAGACCGGTGTCGCCATTGCTTGCCGACCAGACACCCACGCGAGCGCTTGTCGCTTTCGGAGTCGTAAGCGACAGAGCCCGGATAAGGGGTCTGTTTCCGGCGCAGAATATTTATCGCAAGAAGACCGGTGCAATAATGTAGGAATTTGCGTCATCATGAGATCGGTGTCGCCATTTCTTCCCAACCAGACAACGACGCGGCCCCTTGATAATTTCACGAATCGAAAGCGACTGGCTTGGATAAGGTCTCTGTTTCCGAGGCAGAAGATTTCTAGTGAGAAGACCGGTGCAAGAATGCAGGTATTTTCGTCCATCATGAGACCGGTGCCGTTATTTGTTGCCGACCAAACAACCACGCGGCCCCTTGATGCTTCTCGAATCGAAAGAGACTGCCCGGATAAGGTGTCTGTTTCCGACGCAGAATATTTATCCTATGGGAGAAGACCGGTGCAAGAATGCAAGAAATTGCGTCTTGACGAGACCGGTATCGCCATTTCTTGCCGACCAGACAAACCACGCGGCCCTTTGATGCTTCTCAAATCGAAAGCGAGTGCCCGGATACGGTGTATGTTTCCGACGCAGAAGATTGTCGCAAGAAGACCGGTGCAAGAATGCAGGGATTGGCGTCATCATGACCGATGTTGCCATTCCTTGCCGACCAGACAACCACATCGTCAATTTTTGCTTTCGGAATCGAAAGCGACTGGCCTGATAAGGTGTATGTTTCGGACGCAGAAGGTTTCTCGCGAGAAGACCGGTGCAAGGGGATTTGCGTCATCACGAGACCCGTGTCGCCACTTCTTGCCGACCAGACAACCACGCGACCCCTTGTTGCTTTCGGAATCGAAAGCGACTGCCCGGATACGGTGGTTGTTTCCGACGCAGAAGATTTCTCGCTAGACGACCGGTGCAAGAATGCAGGAATTGGCGTCATCATGAGACCGGTGTCGCCATTGCTACCCGACCATACCACCGCGGCCCGTTTCTTTCCAGATCGAGAGTGACTGCCCGGATAAGGTGTCTGTTTCCGAGGCAGAAAAGTTTTCGTGAGCAGACCGGTGCCAGAATGCAGGGATTTGCGTCATCATGAGACCGTGTCGCCATTGCTTGCCGACCAGACACCCACGCGAGCCCTTGTCGCTTTCGGAGTCGTAAGCGACAGCCCGGATAAGGGGTCTGTTTCCGACGCAGAAGATTTATCGCAAGAAGACCGGTGCAATAATGTAGGAATTTGCGTCATCATGAGACCGGTGTCGCTATTTCTTGTCGACCAGACAACCACGCGGTCCCTTGGCTTTCCGAATCGAAAGCGACTGCCCGGACAAGGTGTCTGTTTCGGACGCAGAAGATTTCCCGAGAGACATACGGTCTGGAAGATCCACAGCGACACGCACGTCAGACATACAAGGGGTCTGGCGGCTTTCGCCGCCCCGCTCGATAGATCGATTCCAAGATACGCGATAGGTACTCAACATTCATTCGTGCCAGTACACATAAAGTATTCAAAATGAGAATAAATATGGATCGGTGCAGAAAGAGAATAGTATCTGACGAAGCATCAAAGTTAGTATGCATTCGTGAACGGAGAGTGGTGGTAGTGCTGTCGGCTTTCGCCGCCCCGCTCAATAGACCTCGACCGACCTCACCGCGAGAAGTACGCGCAGCGTCTACTCGCTTGGTTCATCGTGTATCATCAACTGACTGAGTAGATATCCGTATGCGTTGCAGCAGCAAAAGCTGTAGCACGGCACGCAGAATTCAAATGTCATGCGGAGCGCGTAGCTGATTGCTCGGCCAAAAATATTTGATCTGCTGTGACGTCGTGAGCCACACAACAACTGCGATGAGATGAGTGGTCCCAGCGAGAGAAAAATGACTGAGCAACAAACCGACCAAATCGTTCGAGCTACTGCTGCTGCTATACTGGCGTCATCAGCAGCTTATAGTTTACGCCGCTTAACGGGCGAGAGAGACCACGGAGAGTGCGGAGAGTCAGAAAATATGTGCCGCTCATCATGTCATGTGAAAAACTGAAAAACAAACAAATGTGTTGGCCAATAGTCTACCGCTGTATTGTACATAGATGAAGGAGCGGGCCCGCCGAGGGCGGACTGAACCTTGCACCACGCCAGATCGATTGAGGCGTCCGCTACCCGGTTCGTCCGGTTTCCACGAGCAGGCGAGACAGAACCACCAGTCCGTGAAGTATTGGAATGTGAGAACCAAGGCGGAACGATGAACGAACGGAAAATATCTGAAAGCTCTAAAGGTCCCGGATGAGACGAGAGATGGAAATAAATGAATAATATGCATATGCATACGACATGTGAGAGCCGAGACACAGACCGACCGCCGGTGTGTAAGAGTGAAGAGAGAGACAGGCATGCAATGTCACGTGGGTATCGATCGATGGAGAGCAGAGGAAAAGAGCGAAAGGTTCCGCTAGCGAGCGACGCGGAGTGAGGAGACATACACTACATGAAGGGGGAGAGCAGAGAAGAAATAACAACGAAGAGAGCGAATGTTCGACGCAGTGCAACGTACCGATAACCCGACATGGCAGCACCGAGAGACAAACTGGTGGTGTTTGAGAGCAGAGAGAGAGGGGGGGGGGGGCTGCACAAAATACGATGCGTCGTTGCCAGGGAGCAGAGGAAAGTGACGACCGGAACCAACCGCGAGCGACCGAGCCAGACGCGACCGAGCCAGACGCAGAGCGAGAAGATCAAAATATTCGTACATGTAGTGAGGGAGCGGAACGATCACGAAGCGCCCGAAAGATGCATGGAGTCCGGTGGAGACGTGGGAAGTGGGAGGTGAGGTGGGGGATCACAGCAGCACAGCAGAAGTACGGCGCTTACGAGTTGGTCGTAAAAGCAATGGTTGACAACGATGCTTCAGTAGAAATAAAAGCGTCTCTGGCTCTCTGTGGTGTTGCGCGGGGCGCGAGGTTTTGGCCGCAGCACTTCTGCGGCTGCTTCCTGGTTCGCTCGCACTACGAGGGCCCTGCGGCAGGTTAGCCCCCCCCCCCCTGGTAACGGGCGATTTCCTCGATGGAGCGGGTGGGAGACTCAGACGGTACAGCTGCAGCAGCACCGCAGCTGCAGCTGTACCGCAGAGCTGCGGGCATGCGGGCCGCGGGAAACGCACCGAACCAAACCCGGCAGGACTGTGCGCATTCATCCAGCGCCCATCGCAAATTCCAAGAAAATTCTGCTGCGTGACCTCCCACCTCCCTCCCACCTCCACGCCCTCCAAGCCCACACGCCAGACTACGCCCAGCAGGAAG